AGATTTTATTTAGCTTCTCCAGAATCCACTACACGCTGATCTAGGATTATTCATAAAGGCGTAGGACTGAACTCATTTCTCGTGATTCCAAGTCGTTTCAGCATCGAAGAACTAATAGATGGGGGCCTGGCGTCATTCGTATATTATAATATCCACGAAAAATTAGATTAAGGCTTGTATTTTTTGGGATTTATTGTAATTTCAGCTAGATATAACTTTTTTGTAAAATCTTCTTTTCCTAAAATAGTAATCCCTGAAAATACCCAGAAAAGAAGAGACCTGGATATTTTTTTATAAATAACATTTTTTAATAAACAGCTATCGATTTTTTCGCCTTTTGTGACATATAATGTCACGTAATGGCACATATCACACGACCCAAATTAAACACCAGAGATCTAACACTCGAAGAATGTATACAATATGCTACAAATGCTGCTAAAGACGACTCATCATCAACACGCAACAAAAAATCGTCTTCTGAACGAAAAATTAGAGGAACAACAACATTCAGTACCTACAACATCAGAAGATATCCTCCTTCGCAATATATCGTCAACCCTTTCATCCCAAATAAAACAACAATCTCCTATACCAACCGACGCTATATCTGCACATACTCCCGTAATACTAACTTCTACACTCATACGTCGTAGTACAACTTCATTAAACATGGATAACATGAAACAATTCAAAACGTTTGAAAAGGACCAAGTGGACACAATCCAAATACTTGATCATGCCAGAACAAATTTAATTTTTCCATTGAAGAAGTTTTTATCGATTTGAGCTATAAAGAAAGATTATGGCCATCTTTATCATACGTTTATTTGGATTCTGAATTACAAGACTCGTACAATAAATCTATTTCCTCTTTTTCAAATGATTGGACAAAATTTAAAATGCAACTTGATTTATACATAAATCAAACTTCAGCTTCATCAACAAGTACTGTAAATTCTCAGTTAACGACAACAACAGATCACAATAAATCAGTTGAAACACAGCAAGAATATTTTTTCACAAATAATATTAAATCGGAAGAAACTATACAGAAACATGCGGATCAACAAAAAACAAATCAGTTTTTACGATCTATTGGCGCGTTTCTCAAGTTTCATGGCGGAACTGGTGCTGAGTCGTGGTTAACGAATATTCCCAAACAATTCAGAGATCTAGATATCGATCAAGACATTAGATTGTATTATGTAAAACATATCATGAAAAATCAAGCATTATCGTGGTATTTCGCGCATGAAAATGAGTTTTCAAATTTTGCTGCAATTATGACACTCTTTCGTGTATATTTTATTGCGGTACCACTTGTTTCTACTTCTATTCATGCTCCTCATACATCTTGCTCCTCTACCCTTCAATCAAACGTTCAATCTACAACTGCTGAACAATCTGAAACTATTTTATTACCAGCTCTTTTTGAAGATTTACTTAAAAAACAAACAATATTCTGGTGTTAAGGAAAATGTGGTTTGGTGGCTGAAGATCTTCAAGTATTAGTAAATCAAGACGAAAGGAAGAATAATTATTCGCATGATTCAATAGGAACAACTTCAACTGTTAATTTTTCGTCTGCTCTTCATGTAGCTCCACCACTAAGATATAATAACAAACAAAAGCAACAGTATACTCAACCACAGCAACTCCGTTATCAATTAGAAGCTGCTACCATCAATGTACCAATCACTGGATCAGTTCTTCCCTCTCAACAGGTAGTTTCACCTTCTACTCAGCAGCAATCAAACACCGATAAGTTTTCAACTCGGAAAAATTCAAATAATGCTTCATCTAATCCACAAAATTATTAATACCACCATCAAATCGAAATCGTCGATAGAATAATTCTGACCCTCGTAATACTCAGCCACGAGGCGCCCAGCATTTGCAGTAGCGGAAGCATCTGATGGACATCAAAAATCCATCACTTATTTTTATCACCTCCTCTGTTAACAACTGTCCTACAAGAATAATGATAGATACCGGACCAACACATTCAATTATCACAGAAAAAACTCTTCGAAGAACAAAACATCGAAAATTGATTGGCAATCGAAATCTTCAATTATTCACGGTTAGAACCTATGGCGTTGTCGACCTTGATATAAAAATTAATTCAACACTAACCACAATTTCTGCATTCGTTGTCAAATACCTTAGTGCTGAATATCATTGGCATCGGTACTGTTCAAACCTTCTTTTAATCTCAAACAGCAACTTCCCCTTCTCATGTGTAATTCAATATTAGCGGTCGAGCGTCATACAACTTCTATCCCTCTTTACAATCCTTCACATTATCCACAATACTTATCAAAAGGCATTATCCGGGGAACAATCCGATTTCTTCCAAACCGAAAAAGAAGAAAAACATACCCACTCTGATCTAGCTTCATCAATTTTGATAAATAACATTGGTCTTCAAGATAATAATATTCGCATCAGACAATATTGAATTAAATATTTTAAGATTATTAGCACACATCCAAGATGAAACACCACATTCAAAATTAAAATCTGTTTTACTTCAACACCCAAAACCTTTTGACAATTCAAAATCCACTATCGCAACAACAACCCTGTATCATGCCATACCAACAATTGAACATCATTCCTTCGCTTCAAAACCTTTCCCTCTTCACGGTAAAAAACGATAAGAACTCAAGAAACTTTTAGAGGAACCCCAACTTTCTGGCCATATTTGGCGATCCGATCCACATCATGCTGCACCAGCTATTCTCCTTCAAAAGAAAGACAAAAAATACCGTCTTGTAGTCGGTTATAGACAACTTAACTCAGCTACAATCAAAGATCTATTTCTACTCCCTCGCATGTAGAATCTGTAAGTAAAAGTTAAAAGAATGCAAATTTATTTTAATAAATTCAGCATTCTCGATAACCTAAGACACACAAAGCATCAAGTAAGAGCGCCTTTTTACTTCTACTATAATTTAAAATCTTCTTACGAGTTATCAATCAGTAAAGATAGAGAAAGAAGA